AAAAAAAAAAGAAGCAAAACAAACTGACGTCAGCGTGCAACCTATGGGCAAATGGATCGAGCGTATGAGCCAATCGGAGCGCACACTTTTGTAAAGCCATGTTGTAACACCAAATGATTGCAACTACAGTAATTCATAAGGGAATGTGTAGCAGCTAGAGGGGTGAATTAACGGTCAGATTTTGGGGAGGTTAAGGGTGAAAGTTATAGTAACGCACAAATGTAAGTTGTTTTGAGAAATCAAGTTTCAAAAGACTGGAGGAATTTTTGTGGGAAATAACTTACTGTAATTTTTGAAAGCAGAAAAAAAGCAATGGAGCCCTTGATGCGCATGTGCACTCCGTGCTTGTACAAGCCATGTTTCCATTTTAGTAGTGTAATGTTAACTGTAAACTGTATTTTCGTTCTTGTTGTTTCTTTCAGGAATGACAGCTCCTTCAGCTACATCATATTCTTTCTCATCTACTTTCTTCACATAGGACTTAATATATTTTACTGTCTTGGTGTTCCTGGTGGTGGAACCTGGTAAGTTTTCTTTTCAGTTAGACCCTTGATACAATTTTACTCTTACTATTTTTCTGAAATGTTACACTCCAGATTGGGTTTGGTATAATGAATTAAGGGGGGCCAATACTGTCAACTTGTGGAGGCGCGGTGGCCTCATGGTTGGTGCGTTTGACTCCAGATCGAGTAGTCCGGGTTCGAGCCCCGGCCGGGACATTATGTTGTGTTCTTAGGCAAGACACTTTACTCTCACAGTGCCTCTCTTCACCCAGGTATATAAATGGGTACCAGCAAATTTAATGCTGGGGGGGTAACCCTGTGATGGACTAGTATCCCATCCAGAGGGAGTAGAAATACTCCTAGTCGCTTCATGCTACAGAAACTGGAGTTAAGCACCGGCCTAATGGGCCACAAGGCTCTTAAACAGACTTTACCTTTTTTAATTCTGTCAACTTAGGTTTCATGACCTTGATCTTGTTAATCCTTGTAACCATTTACTTTGTAGCAATCCAAAAACTTTGTCTGTCTCAAGAAGACTCTTCACAGACATTCAGTGATGGTATTTCTAATCTTGTTTGAAAAAAGGAAAAATTAGCAAAAGCATGTCAAAGATTTCTAGATTTCTTTCAATTTCCAACTTTTTGGTATAATTATTTTTGTCCTGAAGTAACTCCCTCATTGACAGGGCTGGTGATAAGTTTGAAAGAAGACTGCAAATTAGCAGTGTAAAGGCCATGTTGTTTAGTCAGTTCCGCAAGGTTCGTAGGAACCTCCATTCAGACTCTGATTTTGGAATCAATTCACATTTTTAAACCTTTCCTATTAATTTATGGATTCAATTCCACTCAAAACTGGGAAATTACTGCTATGCTAATGTTTCCCATGGTATTTCAATAATCAAATAATTTTTCATCACCACTTTTGACAAAGTAAATTAACTAAAAAAACTGACCAAAGATGGTTGACAAGCCTTTTAGCCAGCTATTAGGTATTATTGACAGCTCTAATTGACAAAGTGTACTCAGTCACATTGGCTTACACATCTATGATATTCAAGAGTACACTAAATTATTAGTATATGCATGTATTAGAATATGCATGCCCAGGTTTTCATCATTCTTTGCCGCAATATCTGTCTAATGAAATGGAAAGGTTGCAAGAACGTGCGTTGCGGATGATTCAACCTAACTTATCCTACGCTGGGGCTATAGTAGCTCTTTACATTGCATCACTGTACGAGGGGAGGGAGATCTTGTGTGATGCTCTATTTGATCAGATTGTAAGGGACGAAAACCACAAGCTTCATGATCTGCTGTCCCACGCAACAAGTCCACCTATCGCACCTGCAGCCAGAGATACTTCAAGCTACCGATTTGTTAGACAAATAGTTTCAAAAACACATTTATCATGGCCAACAGTTTTAATTATTAGTAGCTATCTTATTTGTATTTTGGTTTTTGATGCTTCTCTTATTGTATTTTATTGTAGATTACACTTTGCAGCTTTTATTGTAGTTATCTTAGAGTAAGAGATAATTTATTCCCATTGTAAAGTAAGTCGTATTTCAGCTGGCCCGGGGGCTGCAATGATTTTACTTCCTAATAAAGGTATCTATCTATCTACTAATACAGGCTGTAGGTAACTCCAATTTTTTCCTGTTTCAGTGGTTTTATCAATGCAACTCAAGTAATTCACCAAGATGTAGCTGTGGGAGCCATGATGTTCATAGCAGCACTATTGTTTTTAGTGGGTGTCATTGCGGATATTAGCCTCCTTATGAAGGTACAGTTTGTACAGATCTTATCCGATGTTTCAAATTTCCTCAAGCAGCCAACATTGACACAGGATTCTTGCTAGTCGTTTTTCACAGCGGGTAAAAGTTGTAAGCACAGTCAACGTATGACATATTTTCAAAGCAGTAACATCTGAGAGGTATCTACACCACATAGGTAGCAGAAGACAATTGAAATTTTAAATTAATGACAATATCAGTGTTCTCCTTTTCAGAGGGGTAACTGGTGAAATTTACCACTTGTAGTAATCGTCTCTTATGACCACCCATAATTGCTTTGAATTATTGAAAATTCAACAGGTAAAAGGATCGTTCTTCCAGTTTTGTTTCCACGTGGAAACAAAACATCAGATTTGTAGGAAATGGAGGGTGGGGGCTAATTGTGTGGTATATACTTCTGAGAACTATCTGGTAACACCAAAGTGACAAGGATATGTAGTTATTAGCTTTCTAGTTAGAATCCTCTAACAGTTTCAGTGTAGGGGATTGCAGGGGTAAGGTTGTACACAACTCTTGGATTGGTAGCCAATGGAAGTAATTGTGGTAACTATTTAATTTTTTGTATGAAAATTTCTTAGGTCCACACGATCTACCGATTAGCTGGTGCGAGTCTGCAAAAGGCACAGGGTGAGTTTGCAAGTGGTGTGGCTTCCAATCCACATGTGCAGAGTGCTGCAACCAATGTTGCTGCTGCTGGAGTGCGAAGTGCCATGACCAATCAGAAGTGAGCAGTACTGGAAGTGGAAGGAAGTACAATTACACGTTTGAAGAAATGCATAATCACAGGCTGTGTATGGATATGTTTTGCCCATACATTGATGATCACGTATTTTTGGAACATTTTTCTAATTATATTCTTGTGTAGAACCATTTTCATTGTTTGTGAGAGATGAGAAATTATGGTGCCACAGTATTTGCTTTGAAAAGCATAGTTTTTAGTTTAATCAGTACAAGTTGAACTAGCCTTTAAAAATGTATCAACACTTATATGATAATTTCCTGGTTTTGTTTTGGTTTCCAGGATTCAATAAGACCAAAATTGGGGAAACTAGGAAAGTGTTAATGGTCTTTTTCAACCATACCTTAAAGTAATCTAGGGCTTTCTTTTACTGTGAAAAGATCCGGATAACCTGGAAGAAAGCCAAGGCAAAAAGATTATGTGCCGAGAGTTTTGTTAGCTTGTGCAAGCGTCAGTCCTGTGTAATTTATTCAAGTGTAAGGCCATTGTAGTGAATTGGAGAAAGAAATTGGGAGCTTCAAGAACAAGGGTTGAGAAATGTAGGAGAGATGATCTAGATGCCCAGAACAAGAGAAAATTTGGACAATTTAAGATGGGAGAAGAGCTTATGAATGACAGTAGTAACTGTTATTCTTTTATATGATAAGCCATCCTGTTCTTTGCTCTATAGTCATCAGTAAAAATTTTCATTCCAAAAAGTGGGCTTAGAAGGCTGATAAACTAGTACAGAAAAGGATACTAATGATGTCCACCATTTAAAAAAAGAGGTTTAGTTCATCTTAGAATAAAGCAAGCCTAAGGAGAAGTGTACTAAGTTAAATATTAGCCCAATTTGTTACAGTGTACAATCCTGATTTGGGTTTATTTTTGGTTAGGGTTGAATGAATCTGCAGTAAATTAAAATTATATGATTTATTTATCTAATATAAGGTAGCATTAACATCTAGTTTGGCCTAGCCAAAGTCTTAATTTGTATCGTAGAACATACAGGTAGCAAACTATTGTATATCTAGTGACACTACTTTTGCAAAGTTTATGGGTTTCCATTCATTTCACTTAAGATTGAGGGGAGCATTTGAAAAGTGAAGTGTTACACTGAAAAGAAGTTTGTTCTTCTGAAGATTTTTTTGGATTGCTATTTGTACAGTATACTATAAAGTTTTGTTTGATAGGGAACATAACTTTCTCTAAGAGAGTACACCACTAAATGGAAGTAGTCACTCCACTTTTCAGTTCAGAAGTGTTGTGACCAGTGGACCAAGGATTATGCCTCAGGAACTGTTTGGCTTGTTAATCACATTGAAAGTAGAGGTGGCATGTATCATCATCTTCTGTGTGTAAATTGTACACTCAGTTTATTGGTAAAGCTGATGTTAAAACAGATGTAAGTGATAATTTGTCAAATTAAATTAGAGGTTCTTCTACAAAATTGTCTATGATGATATTTGTTACATTTTAAATAACAATATTTCTCTTTGATTCCCTTCCCTGCAATAAACTACACAGCTTCCTTAACATTGAATTAAAAACTCTTGAGGAGAAGGACTTGAAGGGGGAAAGGGAAGGAAGAGAGAAAAAGAGAAGGAAAATAAAAATACAAGAGCAGTGACAAACTGCTACGAAACAACTCTTACTTCCTAGAGAATTTAGCATATAAAACATGTACAGCAGCATGAAAGGAAAGCACAGCAAACGTGCGCTCAAAACTCAGATGGCATTTGTTGTATCTCCTTGTACTGAGAAGATCCAAGCTTATTCATCAACTGTGGCAGCTGATCTACACATCCTCTGTCATCGTAGTGAAGGCAGTAGTCCAGTATATATCGGATGCACTTGGTGTTCCCTTCATCCTCCTGGTCGCGACAGCTTCTAAAGTGACATGGACTTTTCTGATTTGTGTAGTCAAAGTCGCAAGGGTCTAAATCTCTGTATTCTGGCTTGTGCAGATCACTGATTTTCAGGCCTAATTCCTGCCAAAAAAAAATTAATGAATAAAAAGAAACATCAGTTCAAGATTATTATAGCACAGTGGAATCAGATTCAGTCCAATGAACATAAAAAGGCCTGGACCAAGAATGTCTCCCGCAATATGCATGTATTGTTTACTAACCCTATACACCCTAAAGTCAGTGTGCATATTCTCCCTTCTGTTCTTTATACATTTCCCAAGGTGCTGACAAGGAGAATTTGGTGAACAATCAAGAGCGTCTTGGTGATGATTTCTTTCATTCATGTGACTATTGTTTGATTCGGCGGTGATGTTGCAAGGAGACATTTTTTTTAGGTGCTTGTCACTCTCACAGGTCAAAGGGTTAACCCTGTCACTCCCAAGATCACATTCATAATTCTCCTTACCGTCTGCCATACAATTCTTATGATGTTAGTTTGGAGAATTTAGTATTTTGATCCACCGATAATCCCTTGCCTGCTTGATATTGTATTGACACGGTAAGGAGAAATTCTGTCTTGGTCACTGGTGGGAGTGAAAGGGTTAATTAAGGGGTCAGTTGAGTGGTTGCATTTGACTCCTTTTGAAAAAAAAAAAAAAACATGGTCCTGAACTGTCTTTTGGCTCTGTTCTCAAATGTACCTTAAGTTTGTTCTGCACAAAAAACTACCAAATGGTAATAACACTACCAATTGAAATCAATTTCTAATATGCATGAAAGTGGACAATGAAAGGCAAACCACTCAGAAAAGAACTGAATCCCATTTCACTAATCAGAACTGAAGTCGTGGAACATTTGATTCATATGTAACTCTGAAGCACTTTCAAATTTGAACAAAACACTGAGAAATTTAGATTTTGCCTGGAACTTTTCATGACAATACGAGACCCCAAAGATGAGCTGTCAGTACCCCAGATTGCAAAAAAACATTTGATTAACCCATTACATCTCACTCTAAAAGTTATCTTCTCAAGTTGTTCCATACCTCTTCCAGGTAACCTCCATCCCCCCGTGTCTGTGGTGCATTGGATTTGTCACTTTCAAACTGATAATTGCTCATGAACACCTGCTGGTCCTTGCATTTTATTCTTGGTGTGTAATCACTCACATTTTGAACCCATAACTCATACTGAGCCAAGACATTTCCAAAGGAAAACCTTTCTGTAAATAATTTATATCTTCATTCAGTAAAGAAAGTACAGTTTACTATAATGATAATTAAATGAATATCAATCACACTGTGCAAATTTTTTATCAGAGGTAATTTGGTTGGCGTAGCCTGGAATGGAGAGTATCTTGATTACCCAATACATTTATAGCAAAACCAAAGTAGAGTGCGCGCTCTGATTGGTCTATTTAGCATCCACCATTTGCCCATGGGTGTATGCTGCTGACACGAGTTAATAAAAAGACTAGTTTACCTGCGCTGGTTTTTTTTCTGGTCACATATGATTTGTTAAATAAAAGGTAACTATTTTGCTTCAATCAATGTATCAATGTTATGGTATAAAACAAATGGTATAGTCTATTGAGTTATGGATGCACTTGGGTGGTGTGCTCAACTTTCAAGAAGCTAGAGTCGCTCTCAGCTATCACCTCGTGCAACTCTTACACTTCTTTCATGCTTAGCATCCTCATTCCCTTATCAGTGTATGCTGTGGTGTTTACCATTTGTTAAGTATTTACAGTGTGTTCAAACACCCAATGTGCTGGCACCCAGTTTGCAGCCCATACCTTTTTCAAGACTTTTAACTGGTAGTGCCTCCCTTCCAGGTTTTTTAAAAGCGGGTTTGGATTTCCACCACAAGGCCACTGCTTGTTGACGCTCAGGTCTATTATAACAATGACAGAAAACAAACATTACATTAAGGCAAATGTATCAAAGACACTTGCCTCAGTAGACATACCCTTCAATCAATACTTCTTAGGTTGGACAGGTAAACATTTCCTCCGATGGAAAGAATATACACGCCACATTTACCTAGATATAACTTGATGCCACCACATCTGAGGGATATAAACAATATCTCCTTCTTCAACATTGGCATGGTGATACCGAACTTTCATGACATTGGGAAATTTCTCTAGATCAACAGCTTGTGGATTGATGTCCAAGACACCCAACACCCGTGACTCATCAGAATACAGATGTGTGGAATAAACTGGAGACACCATGAGGACAGATTTATGTCCATGAATGACACACAATAAGTTCTCATCAGTATCAATGTGAATGGATGACGATGTTCCCCCAGTGCTCATCCAGAAATAGGACACAAAAAAGAATGAGCTCATTTCTTCGCAGCGCAAACACAGAGGAAGAATCACATCTTTTCGCATGTCTGGGAGTACTTCATCAACAAGGTAGCGATTAGAATGATTGTAATGAGAGAGAAATGTACTCAGCTCCATATCAGGGGGGACGTTCCATTTGTCGTCATCCTTTGTTTCCATGTGAAACCTTTCTTGGCCATAAGTTGTATTCAAGTATTCATCTGTCCACTTTGTATATGCAGGCCAGTATTTCACAGCACCTAAATAAGTAAAACAGTAATTTTCTTGACTTAATCATGCAATAGCCTCTAAATAACACTTCCTCTCTCCTGATGTGCACTTGCATTTAAAGTCATGGTATCTGAATGATTTATGGTAACTCTATATACATGTAGACCAAGTAATTTTCATAAAATGCATTTGTAGTACATGTAGTAAGAAAAAAAAATAATCATATTCAAACACTGACAAAGAAACTAGACTGTAAAAACAGTTCACCTTTAAACACAACTGGCTTGTGCTTTACTACATAATTCATATAGAAATCCTCAGGGGAAATCATGTAAGGAAGTTCTTCCACAATGAAATCAGGAGGACGATGTGATCCAAATGGTTTCATATGTCCACGCTGAAACATTTCCTCATCTGTTAGATTATTCTTGGCCACATTACAACCTTCACCGTACTGATTCCCACAGGAATGAGTCTCTGAATGGTGCGAGGAATGCTCATGGCACAAAATTAAACTCACAATACAGAAAAACTCAGTGAGGGTAAAAATCTCAAAAGATCTTTTACTTGAAAATAACATAATGTAGTACATCTGTGAAAAAAAAAGAGTTAAGATGTGATGTTAAATAAGTTTAATAACTGATCTAAATGTCTTCAAAGCTTTAAGCTTCAGTGATCTTCGAGCTTTGTGATGTGATTCTTGAATGAAAAATCATTATGTTGTTTCAAAAGGAACATCATGGTTTAGCACCCTCCTTTGAGCAGTTAACACTTTCATTTTCTTCCTTAATGACACCATTGTCAATGCCTAACTGGCTGCAGATAAGATACACTAATTATGTACCAGTATATATTCACCCACATTGTATACCACAGCCTTGAAAAGGAATTCAAAGATACATGCAACCTCTCCACAAGTTACGCTTTCTAAATTGTTCTACATGAAGGAATATTTTTTTCTGGTTTAATGCCCTCTGACAAATTGGTGTGTTGATAATATCCTGAAGAGCTTCACTGGCCTAGTTTATTCTAGTTTATTTCTTTTTGCAAAATTTCCATTTACTTCTCTTTAGGCAGTCTGATCTTGATGTCAATACATCAACATTTACTAAAGAGTGTAGAGCTCGTTTTAAAGTTACAAACAAAATACTAACTTAAACCAAATAAGAGCTTAATTGAATACTCAAACACGAAAAGCTTGTCTGAATTTTTGTTATCGATGATTAAATGCAAACTTTAATCTCAAAGCATCTGTTTTTACAAAGTTGGCATATCGTATTAATCACTTATTTACGAGGGTCTAATTTTCGCGGGCAGTTCTGTTTAAAATGAAAAAAAAAAGAATTAAGGTTATTCTTACTTAGTGGAGAAAACTTACTCATTGAGTTATCAGCGTTCAGATGCTGAGGCGTTCAGAAGGTGAGCAAACTAATATAGTTGTGAACAAGTTAATACAAGTTAATTTATCTCAATCAGCATATTAAACAACATTTTACTAAAAATTATGCCTGTCTGTCCAAAACCACCGCAAAGCTTAGGTAAAATCACGAACTTGTAAACGTCTGACCTTCGAAGTAAGTTTATTTTCTCTGCAAATCTCGTCTTTCGTCACTTGGGAAGGAAATATTGTTTCTGCAATTCTGTTGTCTAAGTGAAACCCAGTCTGATGAGGCAATTCGTAGCAGAACAATCAAGGACAGGAAAACCAATGACAGCTGCACCAACAGCTGATACACTTCCTGAAAATCTGGAGCGGGGACTGGAGCTGAAGTGAAAGTCTTTTTGAACAGCGGTAGCTCCTTACTGAACATGTATTATGATAACCAATTCCCAGTCTCTTACAGAATTTGTTCATTGACTTGGCGGTCATTCTACAGAGATTTTGAAACATAGTTTTGCTTCAAAATATGGCTTCTGTATCCGATCCTAAACGACGACTTAAAATCCAGACTGGAGTAGTAAAGAGGTAAATTCTCGGATCTCATTTTTTTCTGTATATTGCGCTGATCTTTTTAAAAACTTTGTTTCTGTAGCCACGATGTCAAAATTGTCATTATCTGTTTTGTTTGGAGTGCTTGTTTTGACATTGTAAAAATGGTTGTTACGGGTCAGGTATAAGCTAGGAAAAATTATGTCTTTGAAAGGATTCGCGTAAAAGTTAAATTTTAAGTAAAGAAGACGTCTTTCATCTTGTCTTGGCCCACAGGCCTCTTGATGATGAAAGATGGTGACACTTTCGATGTTACTTACGTTCAATGTTTCGCAAAGTTGAAAGATTCCTGAGCAGCATATCCTTTCCCTTTGGTTTGTGATTGAAATCATTCATTTCTATTTATTCTTTTCAAACATTTTAAATTTTACGGCTCATTTCATGGTCTTGAAAGGTCTTGAACTAGTAGATCATTGTTTAATGAAATTGAACAAGGCTTAGTCCTTTATGCCTTACCTTAAGGAACTATCCATTCATGTATAAAGGGTGAAAGTTTCTAAAGAAACTGTGGTGCTGGGTCGGTGGGGGGTTAGCCCTTTGTCTTTCGCTCTGACAAAGGGCTAACACTTGAAACGTCAGCTTTTTAACTCTTTACGGTCGCCAATTTACAATTTCAACTTAGTTGATATAACCAAATGATCTATTCATGAATCTACACTGTATGTAACTAACTGAAAGCATAAGTTTATGGTGTGGAGAGGATGGCTATGTGGGAAGGTTAAAGGCACATAGGTTGTGGAGGCGCGGTGGCCTCATGGTTAGTGCGCTCGACTCTGGATCGAGTGGTCTGGGTTTGTGCCCTGGCTGGGACATTGTGTTGAGTCCTCAGGCAAGACACTTTACTCTCACAGTGCCTCTCTTCACCCAGGTGTATAAATGGGTACCAGCAATTTAATGCTGGGGGGTAACCCTGTGAT